TGAGCCAGATGATAACAGTTAAAAGCAACAGGCAGGAATCTGGTGGAAATAATTAGCTTTCAATGCCTGAGAAAAGACAAAAGTCCTGAATTGCTCTGTGAACCACGAGTAGGAAAGGAGGGGGAGCTTGAGATAAAGTCTTCACAGAAATAGGGATGGCCCTGTCCATGACAGACTTTCCTGTGAGGGTCATCTTGTCCATCCCTCTGCCTCCTCCAGGCCTGGGCTACTGGACAAGCCCCCTCAGGGCCCCTGGCCCTGCCCTTGGGGAGCCCCCAGGGTGCAGGGAGGCCACAGCCTCCTGACACGGAGCCCAAGGCAGTGACAGACAATCCAACACGGCCAAGCTCGAGGCCCCTAGATTCCTACCGCTTCCCACCCATGCTCACACACACTGACATCTGGGACTATTGTGACCCCATCCTGCTCTTCCTGTGCGTTTGTCTTTTTGTGACTGGCATAGTGCACTTAGCAAAATGTCCTCCAGTTTGATCCATGTTGTGGTGTGTGTGAGAATTTCCTTCCTTTGGAGGGCTGAATAGTACTCCATTGTATGTACAGACTGCATTTTGCTTATTCATTCATCCATTCCCAGGCTGGCTGGGGCAAATCATGAAAGCCTTCTGGAGGCTTGGCTAAGCCAGTCTGATGGAGAAACAGCAGGGCCGCAGCCCATCACCCACAGTGGTAAAAAGCACGGAACTTTGATACAACACAGACCAGGGGTCGAGTCCCGCTCTGCCCCTGGCTCTGTGTGTGATCTTGGGCGGTTACATAAGCTCTCCGGGCTCCCTTCTACACTCTGGGAAACATGGAGGTGAGATCTGTACCCTCTCGCAGGGCTGTTGAAAGGACTACAAATGAATCTATATATATCCCCAGGGCCTAACAAAGGGTAGCCCTTATTATCAATATTATTACTTATTATTCTGCTTCCCAAGGCTGGGGGGTGGGACAGAGATGGAGAATGGAAGGACCGGAGAGTTGCCAGGTCAGGATGGGATGATGCTGGCGTACCTTCCAAGTGTGTAGGACATGCGTATGTCTAGCGCTTGAGGGTGAGGGACCCCAGGGACCTGCCTAGCCAAGCCCTGACCTCCTGGGGGCCCAAGACCTGCTCTTCCCTCTCATTTGACTGGAAGACCACACACACACACACACACACACACACACACACACACACACACCCCACTCTGGGAATCCTAAGCCGGGCAGGTTTTTTCCTCTCCCAAACTACTCTCCTGTCAGAGCTCGGGGGAGAAGCACCTTGGACTTTACCCTCCCTTTTGGGCTCACAAGTTCCCCGGGCTGTTCGCCCTTAAAGACACATGTGGCCCAAGGCCAGCCAGGAGGGGAGGCAGCCCCTGAGAGGATGTGTTCAAAGGAGCCACCATCCTCCTCTTCAGGTGTCTGCTCAGTGCCGCCCCAGGGCCACCCCTCTGTCACCACCTCCCACCCATCCTCGTACACACTGACATCCGGGGCTGTTGGTGACCCAACAGGTAACCATTAACCCGGAGTGAAGGTGCTGGCCCTTTAAGGCTGCCCTGGGAAGAGATGACAAAATCACCCCACTGGACTTTGTGCCCTGAGGCTGCTAGGGGTGAAAACAAGGCCTGGGAGCTATAGGCAGCCTGCTCAGGCAGGCTCACAGCCAACAAGACCCTTTCCTTCTCTCTTTCTCGGATAGGTTTGCCCTGCTCGTGAGAAATGGGAACTCTGCTGTGCACGCACGTCTCCAGGAGGCACACTTTCTCTGATGGGCATCCTCTCTGCCCCAGCTGCTAGGCTTCCTTCATACCCCCCCTCCTTCCAACAGGTGTCTCAGCCTGGGCCATCTTTTCAGTGCCCATCTGCCACTGGGCGAGGAGCAGGCCCTGGTAAGGACCTCTCTTTCCGCGCCCCACACCCAGCCCAGAGCCCTGCCCGGCGAAGGCACTGGCCTCGTGAAGGCAAAGGGATGTGGGCGATCTCGGGGAGAGAGCACGGGGCGGGGGTGGGGAGTCAGGCCGCCTTGGGGTTCTGGCTGCATCGCCCCATCCTGACCAGACCTTGGCTTCTGGGTCACCGCAGGGCCTCGGGAGTATCTCTGCCCATCTCTGAGCCAGCATGTCTGCCGGCAGGCGACAGGCCCTCTCATTGCTAGCTGCTGTCTCTGGCTCCTGATGGAGCAGGGCTTGCTGGGGAATGGCCCACATTCTCCCCTTCTCCAAGAACCAGGCCCACAGGCCGGTCGCTGGCATGTGTTGGACTAAAGGAGATGGGCAAGGGCTCTCTTAAACGCCTTGCACCAAATGAATGGTTGTGTAAGAATGTTTTAAGGGCCTCATGTGCCGCCTCCTCAGGGAAGCTTTCTCTGACTGCCCCGACATTGGCTCCAACGCTGAAGACTGCTCTGGTAAATATCTCACCTCCTTGAGGTCAGGAACTATCTCACCTCCAACTCTGAGAACCAGAATGAGCACGGTGCCTGGCACATGGAAGGCTCTGGCCAAAAGTCTTTTGAGTGAAAAATGCATGAATGTTTATGGTTTTAAAATATCAGCACTGCACGCAAAAGGAGCCCCGGGTCTGAGGAGGGATGTGCAGGTTGGGCCTGGACAGGCCGAAGCTCTTTCACTACTAAGTTGGGTGACCTTGAGAAATGATCTGACCTTCCTGGGCCCACTTTGGCCCAGATCCCACGGGCCAGTTAGTTAGTAAGCATCAGTTAGGGGTCTGCTGAGTGCAGGGCACTGGGGTGGGGTGGGGACCAGGGGGCCACATGAGAGAATTAGAAGACACGGTCTCTGCCTTCACAGAGTTCACCTGTGGTTGAACGCACCCACCTGAAAGAAGATCAACAGCGAGCAGAGGACAGGACAGGATAGACAGGCAGACCATAGGTAGGAATGAGAGGATGATAAGAGCAGGGTGGAAGTAATCCCGGGAGGTTTCCTAGAGCAGGTGAGTTCTGAACTGTAGACACAGGACATTAATCTCATTCCTTCATTCACCCATCTGTTGGACCAGACATTGTCGCCAGGCTTTGAGGACACAATGGTAAACAAACACTGTCCTTCCTTCCAGCAGCTTACAGCCTCACTAAGAAGCCGGCATCTCGACCCAGGTGACCACATAATCTGAGATGCGGCCTGATAGATAGAGAGACCACATGCCAGAAACAGGAAGAGCATCTCGGAAGGGTCAGCCTGAAAGAAATACAGAAATCTTCCGGGAGAATCTGAGCTTCTAAGGGAGCAGGAGACACAGTTAATGAGAAGGGGCAGGAGGAACCTTATAAGGCAACAGGTAGCTGACAGATAAACAAGGTTAATGAGGACCTGTTGTTTCTCCAGGTTCTTGGTGACCTCACCTTTGACCAACAATTTCCTGGCACTGGCTCAGGCTGCCAAGGGGGTAGAGGGGGAGGAAGAGGAGGGTAAACAGCAGGTGAGGCCAAAGGTGGCTCTGGAAGGCAAGGGGCACATTCCGTAAAGTCTCCCCAGCCTGAGGCCTGAGGCAGAGCCCAAAGTCCGATAGGGAACCCACACCTGCATTCAAGCCATCCGAAGAGACCATAAATACCTGAGAACCCACCAGAAAGGATGCTTTCAGCTGCCTGGGAATTCCTCCCCTCTCCAGCTCCACAGCCCCGCTCCCCAGCTCCCCAAGCGCCCCCTTCTCCTGGAGGCCTTCTGGATTCAATGGAAGGAGCTAAGGATTTCCATCTGGGCATGACCTCCTCCCCCTCAACCTCCTCCTCTTCTCCTCTCTCCTTACTCCCCTTGGCCCAGAGTGCTAGTGGGAGAACCCGAGAGCTAGCAGCTGCGTCCCAGGCCCACTTTGTCACCCACAGGCTGTGTGACCTCGGGCAAGTCACCCAACCTCCCCAAACCTTGGCTTTGTCATCTGGAAAACAGAGATATCGAAAGGGAATACTTTCACAGGGCTTTGGGGAGGAATAAATGAGATAATATACATGAAATAAAAGTAAGCATTATTATTCTAAATGCTAGATGCTATTCTAGTATCACCCAAACTTCTAATTTACTGAAGAGGAAACAGGTCCAGAAAAGACATGAAAAAATTGGGGAATAGGGTACTTTCTCTTCCTCCTCCTTCTATTACTCATCTTAGTCAGCCTGGCCTTCTAAATATGGTTTCCTAAATTTGAGGGGGCACAGAGCCCTTGGAGAACGCAAAAGCAAAGAACTTTCTCTCCCCCAGATACATTCATTGGCATACCCCCAAAGTCCGTGTGAGTAATTTCAGGCAGTTCATTTGCCTCAGGTTGGAGATGCTTGCTCTGTGACAGACTAGCAGCCACAGCCCTCAGGCCATGCTTTCATAGTCGAAGTTCCGGGGAAGCGAGAAATGACAAGGGGCAAATCCTAAACTTCGGGCAGCAAACCTCAGCCAAAGGGTCCCCCAAAGCCAATCCTCAAGGCCCTGGGAAGGAAGTCTTATCTGAGACCCCCTCCAAATAGCTCACCACCCTCTCCCTACCCCCACCCATTCCCAATCCACAAAAACCTCCTGAGCTAGTTCATTCCATTCTGGTCCTTGAAAGTCAAACAGAATCTGAGACTATCTGTGCAAACCTCTTTATCTTTCCAGATGAGGAATATAAACAACAAAAGATAGACGGACTTGCTTAAAGTCACCTGGATAATCAGTATAGGAGCCTGGCTGAACTAAGCAACTCAGGCCCCCAGTGTGTGTCAAGAACCTACTGTGTGTTCTGGGCCCTGCTGGCAGGGGTGGGGCCGCCAAGAATTGATGAGCTGCAACTTGATTGGCCAAGCAAGCCTAAAATCCTTGGAATGAGAGTGCAAACAGGTTACCAAGCTCCTGATTGTGTAAGAGAGGTTGCAAAATCTCTGCAAAATCTACAAGACTAGCAAAGGCAGAGTTGGAACGTCCATCCATCTATCCATTCATTCATTCGTTCGTTCATTCATTCAAGAAATATGTAACAAACCCCAAATACTAGGCGTGAGCATGCAGTGGTAACTCACCCAGACGAGGTGCCTGCTCTCCTGGACTCCTAGAGAGGGAGAAGACAATAAACATGTAAACAATATTAATTTAGCTAGTGAGGAATACTATGAAGAAATAAAACATGATGTAATTGTTGACGTGATTGATATTGTCAAGGGGAGGTGCTCAAAGGAGGCCTCTTGGAGGAGGTGATAGTTGAGCTGAGTCCTAAAAGGTGAGGAGGAGGCATCCATGCAAAGGTGTGGAGCTGGAATGTTCTAGAAGGAGGGAACAGCAAGTGCAAAGTCCCTAAGACAGACATGAAACTGATATGTTCAAGGAACGGAGAGATCAGTGTGTACAGGGGGTGAGAGGGGCCTCCAGGAGGTGGAAGATTTGGTCAGGAGCCAGGTAAGGAGGGCAGGCTTTATGCGGTGAGTGGGGAGGGTTTAGGCAGAGAGGCAGCATGTTCCCGCATATGGTGTCAAAACTCATCCTGGCTGCTGGGAGGGGCACAAATTGGAGGGACCGGAAGGGAACAAGGAAGGCACAAAACCCAGGAGAGATGGTGGGAAGAGTGGGGCAAGGGATGGAAATATTTCTGAAGTAGAACAGGCCCCAGGATGCTGATGGATTTGGATGTGGGGCTCAAGCAAAAGCAGAGATCAAATACAAAAGCCAGGCTTTGGGCTTGAGCAACGACGGGGGTGGCGGTACCATTTCCAGGTACAGGAAAGTGACAGGTTACAAGGGAAGCCAAGGGTTACCAGTCGTGTTTCAGGAAAAAAAGCCCAGTGTCCTTTGCTCACAACCTGTTCCATTAATGTCTAGCACATAAGAGTGTCCACATGACAACAAAAGATAGAGCCTTTTCAAGAATTCAAAGGAGATTGTGACAGAGGATGGGGAAGCAGAGGCCCAGCTCTGAAAATGGTCAAAATCTCCAGAAGTGTTATCCATCACAGTAGAATTTCAAAATCGTTTTCCTTCTGGGTTTTCTACACCGTGCTGCGGGCGGCTAGGCCGTGCGGCCGGGGACAGCGAGGCTGGCAGGGCGGCCCCGGGCCTGGTGTTCGTGGTTCTTTAACTCTTGCTCACTTTCTAAGCCCATTTTCATCTTATACAAATGCGATCACCGGATTTGGGCATGGTTCTTTTTCCTAAGTCAAGAGTTTCTTTTTTATTGGAAAAAACTACTAGCTGGGATCAATACAAAACCACACTCTCAGTGCCACCTTCTGAGGGAAACAGGGGCATTAGACGCTGCAGCCAGAGCCCCCCCGGGGGCCTCCTGACCGTCTCCCTGTGCCTGTTAGGGCAGACACCAGAGAAAGGCGACAGATTCCTCCTTTAGGGATTCTGGGTGGGAAACCTAACCTCCTCCCTCCTGAATCTAGTCCCCTTTGAGCCCCCCCACAAGCCCTTGGGGTCTTGATGGGCCCGTCTCAGCCTTGCCTCAGCCCTGCCTCTCACCTGGGCCTCTGCTGACCCCTGCCACATCCTTCCTCTTTCCCTTCCATCCCAGTCCCTCCACATGGTCCTTGTCTACTTCGTGGGTTGTTTTTGTTTGTTTGTTTGTTTGTTTGTTTTTTAAGACTTTATTTATTTATTTGAGAGAGAAAGAGAGTGAGAGAGAGAGCACAAGCTGGGGGGTGGAGGGAGAGGCAGAGGGAGGGGCAGACTCCCCGCGGAGCAGGGAGCCTGACGCAACATGGGGCTTAATCCCAAGACCCCAGGATCATGACCTGAGCCAAAGGCAGACGCTTCACCGACTGAGCCAGCCAGGCGCCCCAGTCCTTGTCTACTTCTGACTAGAGGTGTCTGATGGTCTTCCTCATGTGGGGCTCTAGCACTAGTCCACCTCCTCCAGGAAGCCCCCAGTGATTAAGCCTGATGCCATCATCAACCTGGTAGTACAATTTCTGGCCTTCTTTTTCCCCCTCTCTCGTCTGTATGCAGATGTGTGATCACCCTGGAGAGAGAGAGAGAGAGTGTGTGTGTGTACAGGCCTGGATGAGCATGTCTCCCACTTAGATGGGCGGATCTTATGGGACCTGAGAGTGACCAGTGGACACCCCCAATCTTCTTCTGCAGGAACTCCCCCCCACCATATGGGCCTATTCCTGGTCACTGTCCTGCCTTCCTACTCTCCCTCGTCCCTTCCATCCAGCCAAAAAAATATTTACTGGGTGCCTACTCTGAGCCAGAGAAGTGCCAGGAGAACACCAGCAAAGGAGAAAGACAAGGCCCCAGCTGTCACAGAACTGTTGTTCCAGGTTGGGGGACAGATTATAAACAGAAACATTGATGGGGGAGCGGGTAAGTAGTAGAGGTAGAGAGAACAGGTCCCTCCCACAGGGATAGGTGCTAGTCCCTCTCTCAACAAAATGAGCACCTACTATGTGTTGGATGCTATTCCAGGGACGTAAGATACATCAGTGAACAAACAGACAAAGATACTTGCCCTTGTGGAAGTTAAATTCTAGTTGGGGCGGTGGGGGGGGGCGGGGGGAGACCAACACTATATTGTGCACATAATAAATAAGTGCATTTTATAATGTGAGGGCATTGGAAAGTGATCAGCGTTTAGGAAAAAGAGTAAGGTAAGAGATGAGAGTGTGGGGAAAATGTTGCCATTTTAAACAGGCAGCTCAGGGGAGGCCTCATTTTGGAGGTGGTATTTGAGCAAAAAACTTGAAGAAGGTGAGGGAGTGAGTCCTGCAGATAGCCGGAGAAAGAACATTCCGGGGGGGAAAGGTCGTGCAAAGCTCCTGGTGCAGGAGCATACCGCATATGTTTGAAGGACAGCAAGGAGGCCTGTGGGGTTCCAGCAGTGGAAGGGAAGGAGCTGAAGATGGAAGTCAGGGAGGCAGCCAGCCTGGGAAGGGATCATGGAGGTCCTTTAGGGCCATGTGAGGGCTTTGGCTTTTGCTCTGAGGGAAATGAGGAGCTGCTGCAAGGATTTGAGCCCAAGAGGGACATGATCTGAGCCACCCTTTCCTCACTAAAGGGCAAAACTGTAGAAAGTGATGGAGGAGGAGGCTGCTGCTTGAGGTAATGGGGTCAGTGGCTCTCTGAGGAAGAGCATCTAAGCTGGGGTCTGAAGGGCAGAGATTGGACATCCACCTTCCTCCCCCTCCTCTTCCTCAGTCTGTCATCCAGGGAGAGCCTTCTGCTGTCAAACTACACCTCTCTCTTTTTCCCTCACATCTCCTTGCTGCCCCCCATCCTCTCCCTCCCTCCCTCTCTCCTCACACCCCCTTGCCGACCCTCCCTCTCTCTTCATCTCCCTCCCTCTCCTCACCTCTTTTTGGCTTCAGCCTCACGCCATGGGGATGAGGGCTTCCCCCTTCCCAGGGTTCCCAGGAAACAATTGTAAAAAGCACTAGGAAAGGCGGCAGCAGGCCCTTGGCAGGAGGGAGGATGGCAGATTACAGTGTCTGGTCGCGGCTGCTCACCCTGTAATCAGCAGGGTGTCTCAGGTGGACAGGGACCCTGGGGCATACCCTGCCAGGCCGGGACTTCCCATCCCCAGTCCACTCCTCCCCAGTCCCCCACCTCAAGCAGAGGGGAGAGAGAGGGGGCATCTTGCAGGCCTTCCCTCAGCCCAGCCTTCAAGCTTTGATCAGGGGTGAAGCTAAAAGAAACTTCCAAGCTTTCCAGGGGCACCTGGGTGGCTCAGTCGTTAAGCGTCTGCCTTCGGCTCAGGTCATGATCCCAGAGTCCTGGGATCGAGGTCCGCATCGGGCTCCCTGCTCCGCGGGAAGCCTGCTTCTCCATCTCCCACTCCCCCTACTTGTGTTCCCTCTCTCGCCGTGTCTCTCTCTGTCAAATAAATAAAATCTTTAAAAAAAAAAAAGAAAGAAAGAAACTTCCAAGGTTTCCAACACAACCCCTCATGCTGCAGAGGGTGGGCCCCAAGGGCAACAGTGCAGCTCCGGATCGCATAGTCAGATTCAAACCCAGGATGCTGTCCACATCCCAGCCAGTCTCATCTTGTGGCCCAGGCCTCCGGATCAAGCAGCAGGTCAAGGCTTCAGTGCTCCTGCCTCGAGGCAAAGAAGACAGGGCTGTCAGACCCAGTCTAAGAGCAGAGCAGGGCAGTGGCTACTAGCTGCTGTCTCCAAAGGGCCGGGGAAAACTCTTTCCCTTTTAACATGACCCTGATCCCACACCTCTGGGGGAGTGGACATGGCTCAGCCCAACAGCCCTCCTGTCTTCTAGGAAAGGAACCTCACAAGGTCAGCCTCCCGGGTCACCTGTCTGTCCAGGAACAGGCCTAGTTCTTCTCGACTATCAGGTGCCACGCGTGGCTGTGGCCTCCAGCACCTGAGTCATCTGTGACTCATTGCCCTCTGCCCTTGGTCCCAAGATGGTTGGGCCAGGTGGACTTGGCATGGGAATGGGATGAGACCTGTCCAGTGTCCCTGGTTTAGGCAGGCCTGTCCCTGTCCCTCTCCTCCCTGCACTGAGACAGAAATAGACCCCTCACGGAGGACACCCATGTCAACACCCATCCCCTCACAGGGGAGCCAGAGCCCCCCCACCCCCACACGCAGACGCATGCGCACCCTCCCTCACAGTGCCTTCTCATTCACACATGGATTGAGTGGACCCACATCCCCCAAAGTCTCCATTTAGCCCAGACCACAGGCCTGGGAGTTAAGGTCAACACTTAACTTCCCTGTGTGACCTCAGGAAGGACTCTTCCCCTTTCTAGGCCTCAGTTTCCTCCTCTGATCTGGGACTCACAGACCTCCAACATCCCTTCTAGCCCTAAATCTAAAGACGGATTTTAAGAAGTGACTTCAGACCTGTGGTCAGCCAGTGAGGGAGAGAGCTAGCAGGGTGAAAGTGGGCATGGCTGAGGGAAAGGACTCTTCCCTGGTACTCTCCTGATCGTATGACACCTAAGGCTATAGGCAAACACTGCAGGGAAAGGAATGGTAATGCCTCTTCCCCAAACCAGCCAGTTCAGGGCCTCCAGGGAGAGGGGCCTCCACCCCAAGGAGAAGGGTCAAAGAGATAGACTTCCACATGCCTCCCCCTCAGACTGGGGCTCCCTGTGGACAGGGCTGTGTCTGCCCCTTAAACTGCACCTCCCTGAGGGCAGGGCTGTGTCTCCCCCTCAGACTAGGGCTCCCTGAGGGCAGGGCTGTGTCTTCCCCTCAGACTGGGGCTCCCTGAGGGCAGGTCTGTGTGTCTCCCCCTCAGACTGGGGTCCCTGAGGGCAGGACTGTGTCTCCCCTCAGACTGGGGCTCCCTGAGGGCAGGTCTGTGTGTCTCCCCCTCAGACTGGGGTCCCTGAGGGCAGGACTGTGTCTCCCCTCAGACTGGGGCTCCCTGAGGGCAGGTCTGTGTGTCTCCCCCTCAGACTGGGGTCCCCGAGGGCTGGGCTGTGTCTCCCCTCAGACTGGGGCTCCCTGAAGCAGGGCTATGTACCCCCTCAGACTGGGACTCCCTGAAACAAAGCTGTTCTTTTCCTCAGACTGAAAGCCCACAGGCCAAGAGCTTTTGATTTTATCTTTATTTCCCAAACCAAATTTTCCGCTCCCTGAGTGAGTCGGACCCAGCTCCAGGGCCTATTCCCCTTCCGCCCGTTTTACAATATGTGAGTTGGACCCCAAGATGACAGCACCCACGGAGATGGAGGCAAGCAGTGATATAACAATCTAGCAGTTCCACCAGGTCTTTCCCAACCTCCTCCCGTCTTATCCTCAAATCCTCTCCAGAATGTGCGTCACACCTGGATCTTATTCCCCAGAGGAAAGATAGAGCAGTGAGTTTCAGAAAGCCAGAGATTTGTCAGGTCACACAGCGGAGGGTCCCCAGGCCCTCACCCTCTCTGTCATGTCCACCCACCCAGACCCCACAAGGCCTGGAGAGGGCCCATCCCCCAGCCCCCAGGAAGGGGTTAATGAGCTTTAGTGCTGGCACGGTGGAGGGCAGTTGGGAAAGTTGGGAAAGCTAGGGAGGGAGCAGTGTTCTCCACTTGGCCAGAACTTCGGTTTCCCAATACAGTATTACTGTGGGCCAGTGACAGGCAGCGGGGCAGGCTGGGCACTGCCAAGCTGAGGATCCCAGCACCTTCCTCTGTTGCACTGGCCCGGGAACCAGCCCCAGCCCCTCAGGGCTCTCAGCGGGGAGGGACCTGGTCTCTGGGGAGGGTGGGTCAGCGCCCACAGAGGCAGGGCAGGAAGACAAGACTACCACCTAGGAGAGTGAAAGAGAGCCCCCGAGAGGGCGCTGCCTGCTGGCCTGGCAGCCATGAGGTAAAGAAGTAGCAGACCCCCACTTCAGGGTCTCCAGCTGCCCCTGCCACCTTCTGTCACAGCTTCTAAGATAGCGTCTTCCTGACATTTTTGTTTTACCATAACCCATGTGAAAAAATACATCCTACACCATGACCCCTGAGCACATATGAACCCAGATACCCCAAGAGTTTCGAGAAATAATATTTACCCTTACTACTCACAAGCCTCTCTGAATATTTTCTATTCTCTTCCATATTTAAGAAAAAGCATAATGCTGGCTGCAAACCCCTAAACTGACCTCCTGACCCCCTGACAGATCAGTTTGCAGTTTGGAAAACACTGCTCCAAGGTCAGCAGGCTAGATACATCGCCACTGCACATATAGGGACACTGAGGCCCGGAGAGGAACCAGAGACTGCCCAGGGCCACAGGGCCGGTCAGGGACTGAGCCCCAGCCAGAGCTCAGGTGGTTCCCACCACAGAATTTCCACTGTAAGTTTCCAGAGCCTGGGGACTTCTTGAGCCCCCTGCCTGCAAAAACAAGGCTGGGGGAGAGAATTACCACTGGTCGAGCATCAGAAAAGAGGAGAAGGTGGTTTGCTGAGAAAAGCAGGCTCTCCTGGGCTCCCCTAGGTCCCAGCAGTCAAAACTCTTTTGAGTCTAAGGAAAAGGTCAGGCTTGGGGGTCAGATTCATTTCCTCCAGAAAATGGTCTTAATATGATGGGGAGGAGAAATGGAGGTTCCTGGTCTGAGGGGCAGTGACACAAAGCCCCTCCCCTCAGGGAGCCCCCAGTCTGAGGAGAGAGACCCTGCCTTTGCTCTCAGAGAGCTTCTAATTTGCTTCACATCTCTGCTGCAGGCAAAAATTAGGGACATATCCAAAACGGGGGCATATCCAAATGCAATGTCTACACTGGGAACCTTGCTGGCAAAGCAGCAAGAAGGATGAGCAGGAAGGAGAGAAGCATCAAAGCCCCTGAAGGGGGGGGGGGGGGCGCCTGCGTGGCTCAGTCGATTAAGCGTCCAACTCTTGATTTCCACTCAAGGTCGTGAGATCGAGTCCTGAGTCGGGCTCTGTGCTCAGTGAGGAGCCTGCTTGAGACTCTCTCTCTCTCTCTCCCTCTGCCCCTCCCCACTCAAATAAATAAATAAATCTTCAAGGCATCTGAAGGAATCACTAGGAGGAAGGTCCAGCCACTCCTTTCAGGTAGGGTTGCCAGACTAAGTACAGGATGCTTAGCTAGATTTGAATTTCAGACAAATAATGAAAATTTAACTGGGTGTCCTGTATTTTTATTTGCTGTGTCTGGCAACCCTACCTCCAGGACATTTCCTCTTCATACCTGTCAGAGTCAGGCTGACCAGGAAGTGCACATAGGACTAAGACAGCAGGAGAAGCTCAGATATCCAGGTACCCAGTACTATGGGGGATGGGGACAAAAATGAGAGTTCCTAGAACTCCCTCAGACCTACAGACACCCCCAGCTTGAGCCACCGCCTCCCCTCTCTCCCCCAGAAGTGTGGCTGGGGTGAAAAGGCCAGGAAAAACCTTTGGAGTGGGCATGTGGTGGTGGGCAAGGGAGTGAATGGCTTCCTTCACTCCTTCTCAGCAGCCACACCAGGCCGGTTGAGATAAGAGAGTCTTCAGGGAAACTTCCTTTTAGGCCAAAACCAACGGCTGGGCCTGGCACCTGTGGGCAGTTTCTCTGAAGTCATGGGGCCTGGGGGAGGGTTTACCAGCATCAGGCAGAGCTCTTCCCCCAACTCATGTCTCTTCCGCCCTCCTTCCTCCCTGCACCCCCCCAACACACAAACCCACAGTTTGGGCTTTCAGTATGGCCGCTGGAGTTGGGCAGGGCCAAGGGTGTGGCTGAGGTGGCCACAGCCAAAAGGAAAGGGGGCAAGCCCACCAGCCTCACCAGGAGGGCATTCTCTGAGCTCTCATAACCTCTGTGGGCAGAAACATCCCCTCTCCCAGGCCCAGGAGCAGGACTAAGTGCTGGGTCTCAGGTCCTGCCTATCCCCCCCATTACTAAGAGGAAAGGAAAAGCTGTTTCTGTCTTCCCTTGTGGGTTTCTACACTGGCTGTTTCCACATTCCTTACCGACCAAGGGAATTAATCATCCGAGATGCTGAGCGTTTGTTGGGTTCTGTAGATCAGCCTCGAGGCAGCAAGCCCAGAGTTGCACACCCATCCTCAGGGAGCACCCAGCCTGATGACAGAGACTCTGTCCCAGTCCTTAGGGACCCTGACAGAGTGATGTGACTAATGTTCATTCTTTCATTCAACGAGTACTATATTTATTGAGCCCCTCTTAAGTGGCAATCACTTTATATTCATTAACTAACTTAATCCACATTAACACCTGGGAGATAGGTGTTATCATGCCCATTTCACAGATAAAGACAATGAGGCCCAGAGAGGTCAAGTAACTTGCCCCGGGGTCAGACAGCCAGAAATTTCTACTGATGTGAAAAGTAGAGCCCACTTCTGTGGGATCCCAAGTCCTCTCTTCCCACCACCCTGTGCCCAGTCACAACGGTGACAATTGCTGACCTTTCCTGGGCACCTACTCCATGCCAGCCACCACCCCAGGCCCATCCACATTTCCCAGATCCTCAGGGGTCATGGCACCTGTTTAACAGACAACGGCTAAGACTCAAAAAGGTAATTTTGCCCTAATACACAGTTTAGAAGTGGTCAGGGTTGGAGCTGTGTTTTAGGTTTGGTTTTTGGACCTCGGGGACCCAGAATTAGCAGGCAGGATTTGAACCGAGGCGGTCAGGCCAGGCTGGACCAGAAGTGACCCGGCGTTATCAATCCTGTGGCTGCCAGACAGAGGGTTATTAATATCCAGGAGGTGGCTATTGCAGAAAAATCAGCAGCTCCCAGAGGGCAGCTCTGGGTCATGGGACGACAGCCAGGTCAGCACCCCCGTGCCCCCAGCCCCATGGGGGCTCATCCTGAGAAGCCGGATCCCTCAGCTGAGCCTCACAGCCCCTGCCCTCACAGCCCTTACCCAACCAGGCGGCCGCCCCGTGACTGGGAGCAGTGACCCCTGTCACACTTGCGTGTGTGCAAGCCTGTGGATGAGCTCGTGTGGAAGAAGACCTGTCTTACCCTGGGAGAGAGGACGTCTCGAGGGTGTCTGCTAGGGACAGGCCCTCCCCCATGGGATCCCAGCCTCAGGAGGCCAGCAGGCCCTAGATGTGGGCCCAGCCACCTTCTCTGTTTCTCAAGCTGGATGGAAGGGAGTG